GTCAGTGCTTATCATAGCAAAAATGCTAAAAGGGAGGGAGGGGAGGAAGGAAGAGGGAGAAAAGAAGGAGGAATGAAGGCAGGAGGATTGTAATTATAGTAGTCATGGATGTTTTGCCTGTTTGATGGAGTTTTGCAATTACCAAATGAATCAGTTGCAGACATGTATAAAATTGATTTGAAGTAGGTGAGGAATCAAAGGAACTGAAATTTGTGATGAAGTTTTAATGCTCTTAAATTATTTTCAAGATTTCTTTAATAAAATATGTGATGACAAATTTCCCCGTCATGATGTCAAAAATCACACCATATATTAAAAAGGATCTGGAGGCCAAGATGCTCAGATTAGCATCTGGTTTGTGGACAGTCTCAGGATCATCTGGTCCTCTAGCCATGGGAGGGACAGACCTGTAAAACTCCGGGCCTCTGAGATCATAGGGGGGCCAGGGTTGACCTCACCTGAACCCCAGGGTGGCTTCTAAGTAGGTGGTCTAAATTCTATGACATTGCCATTTGGTGCCATCAGGATCTGAAATCTGGTCACACTCACTAACTTGCCTCAAAGTTTCATGCTCCATAGCCGAGGAGGCGAGAAAGATCACTTCCCAAAGGATGGGAGAGCCAGACCCAAGGCAGCACTATCTTTCCTTCTCAACTCCTGTGTCCCCTTTATTCCTATCCTCAGCATCATCTCTATACACTTGTGTCCTTTAGTTCCCTTTTTCATCAGTTCAAGTTAAATTCTGCTTTTCTGATTCCTCATCTCTGTGGTGTCCTCTGAAGCCATGCACACACACCCCTCTGCTCAGATCACACAATTGACATAGAATATTGTTTTCCTGGCCCTGCTTTCACCTAACTCCACAGGGACTGCCGGTCACTTTGTCAAAGTCATTGGCACTCACCTGTTTTTGAAGTTGATGAACCAGCAGTAGACAGCACTAACTCTGTCCTCTTGCTACCACATTTTGCCAGCAGCAGCCTGACACTTCATCTACAAAGGGCATGTGAACTCTGTCCATTCACTCTCAAGCTCAGCAGAGCACTTGTACACAGTCCATCTGGGTCTTTTACCCTGCCTGATGTTCTGTACTGCTGCACCTGCACCTCCAGGAGGTCCTCTCCTTACAGTGACTGCATGTTTTTAAAGTGAAAAAAAAAAAAAAACCTTACCACCTCACCTCCCAAAAAGATTTAATGTGGCACCTCTTAATCATAAAGTCATCACCTATAGAGCAAAACAGTTTTAAAAAACAGCCATGCTTTCTTATTCAATCATCCTTAATATCTCATATATGTCATATGGTTCCTGCTCTCTGAGTGTGTACAGCAGGGGTGTTTATTGTCAGCCTGTCCTGCAGGACCCCACCTCAGTCTCCTCACTGAATGCTCCAGAGAGCTATTTGCTGAACAACACTGAACAAATTCTTAGACACATAAGAGAATTCCTGATTTTTCTTCTTTGATCCAATGGGCTATGTCAGCCTTGTTCCAAGAGAAAGACAGAAGGAACAGCCCGAGGGACACGTGTGGTTAGTTAGAGAGTAAGAGCTAGAGAATGCCTTGCTTGTACAGGCCTTCCTCCTGGGGATGCTGCAACACCTAAGCCATGATGAACATCTTGGAGCATGTTGGGATACATGCAGTTTCTCTTGGAATAAGCAGGTATTCCCAACTCCAATGTCTCATTCTTGTTTCTGATATTCCTGAACAATTCCAAGGCTATCTGAAGACTCCATACTTAATTGGGTGACAGTGTATGCTCTGCATGTCCACATCTGGTGAGAAATATGGGCTCTCCTTCTCAAGTCTGGGAATAGTTAAATGTCTGATGCCTTCATATATTAGTGATGAGTGTACCCACTGTTGTGAGGTCCATCCTCCAGGGATCCTGCAACATTGGGCAAGAAGTATCACACTCCACTACCATATTCTTCATGTGAATGGTATAGCCCTCTGTCAGCCTCACATAGAGACTCCGGGTGAGCAGCCCTCCTTTGTCTATGACTGTCATACATTAAGATATGAGAAAGTGAGAACAGCCCTAACCCTAACTGTAACCACAATGCTTGCATTCCTTTAGACATTTTTTGCAAGATACTATAGGGCAACTGACATAGAAGATGAACACTGTGGAGACATGAAGAGGTATCTTTGAAGCATTCTATCGAAGTATTGAGAGGGTCCCGTAAGAAAAGGACTGGGGCAGAACAGTACAGTCAACAGATTCTCTGGTTTGGCTGTCAGTGGTGGATGTCAGATCTAAAGACACTTGTGATATGACACCACTTTCATATCAAGCCTGGCTGGACTGGAGTTACATGTGAGGCTTCCAAGGAGCTGAAGAAAGGAGTCCCCTCACTAAGAGCACCATGCCAGTGTGTCCTCACTCTAGACAGCTCCATTTGCAAACTTCTAAGTCCTATGCCCTCTGACCACATACATCTAATTATGGTAACCAGACAATTTTAACAAGGTCACATAGGGTCTCCTTTTCAAAACCACAGCCTCACTTCCACTCTTGTCTTAGGTGGCCTCCTGCACTAAGATTTTCTTTCTCAATTGAGCATGAAATTTTCCACTGACTTTCTGTTGGTTAGCCATTCCTTTTTGAAGCATTTCATATTCACAGGTTAAAAAATGCACCAATGAAAAAGAACTGATAATGTTTACAAAGATTACCTATAGAGACAGAAGTGCACATGAGCAGTTTTCCTTCCATTATTAATCAGCCAAGCAGATGGTTGACAGGGGTGCAGAAGTAATTAAACAGAGCTAACACGCAAGAGAATTGATTTATTCCTTGCTTATAGAATTTCACTTTCAATGCACCAGAGCCTATACTTCTGTAAAGCATGTCAGCTCCACAATTACATCTGATAAACAACACGGATCCTGCAGTCCAATTTAACCACAGCATTTGTTTCTAAATGTTTTAAAAATCTCAAAGAATGATTATTTGATTCTGAGAACTATATAGCTCTTTCACTTTGCTGCTTGCCAAGGTTACAGCTAAGCTCATATTTTCTGATCAAATGAAATCCTTGGTGCCACCAAGGGGGGGTGGGCGGGACACACACACATATGCATATATGGAAAGGCACTTGTGATATGACACCACCTTCATATCAAGCCTGGCTGGACTGGAGTTACATGTGAGGCTTCCAAGGAGCTGAAGAAAGGAGTCCCCCCACTAAGAGCACCATGCCAGTGTGTCCTCATATATGCATGCATGCGTGTGTGTGTGTGTGTGTGTGTGTGTGTGTGTGTGTGTGTGTGTGTGTGTGTGCATAGTAAGTGCTTCCATCTTTTCTATCCTGATCTATAGGTAGTGTCCTCTGCCTCTGTGGGCCACAGAAAGCTGCATTCCTGGGCTTATTGGATCTCAATTCTAATTAGATATCCTGTCTGCTGTAAGCAAACTTTATCACCTTGCTCAGAAAGGATGAAAGCACACCCTGTGTTGACTCCTAACTGACTTAGGTGAAGGCAAATTTTCATGTAGATGCCAATTTCAGAATGAACCATGTGGACACTTCTCTCTTTCCCAAAAATGTTTTCAAAGGTGTCATGGGAGTCTATAATCCCTCTAGAAATTCACCTCTTATTTGAAGTATCTCTTCAATACAATTCGATGCCTTCTGTAACCTCTGTCAGTGGCCTGGATGGGTCTATGACACAGACTTTTAGACATCTTCTGCCATTAAAGCACTCTACCTACAGCATTCAGTGCAGTTCAGACCCAGGCTAATTGTACCAGACCAAGCTGAATTCTTGGTCTAGTGCAATCAGGTGAAATGAATGAGAAAAATTTGAGAGAAACTTCAAGCTTATTCTCCTCTCCACACCCCCATGCCTTCTGCTTCCAGCAGGAGCAGAGCCAGGGCCACAGGAGTCTATAGCTGCTGGCCACCTCTAGCTTTGGTCTCAGTTTGAGGTGTGGGAGCTCACCAAACTGACCCCACCTCCGGGTCCTGACTTACCTCCTTTTTAAGTTGAGGCCTAAGGATGCATGTTAACCCCACCAGACTACAGGGGACTGCCCATATTAACGCCAGCACACCATCCTGTGGAGACTGAACTTCCTAGGCAGGGGCTGGGGCTGGGAGGACAAAGTTGGAGGAAGGGCACAGGAGAAGCTGTTATGAGAAGCTGACAGCAGTGTGTCTCATAACAAAGTCATTTTTGGACATCAGGAAATACCCTATTTTTCTGAGAATTCCCTGCCCCATAAGGAAGTCTCACCCTCACCTTCTGTGTCCATGTGTCCTCCCAGGAACCATTAGTTCTATCATTACTAACCATACATAGATGGTGTTCCTCTAATGGCCTGATATAATAGCTAATGCCATGATGTCCATGTGCCATGGTTCCAAGCAGTGGATTTTCACTTCCCTCTGGGTCACTCTTGAGCATGTCTGGAGTTCTACAATGAGTAAGTAACTTGGATGCCCACAGGCTCTTGCCAGATACCAGTGGACACTACAGGGTTTCACCCTACATTTAAGTCTCCTCAGCTTTAAACCAACTGTAAGAGACTCATTGCTCAGATTTGTAGTAGCAAGGGCTCTCTGCGGTGACTGGACACATCACACAAGAAACAGTCTTTTATGGGCTGACAAAGAAAATGGAAAGGGCTGCCGGGCGTTGGTGGTGCACGCCTTTAATCCCAGCACCCGGGAGGCAGAGGCAGGCGGATCTCTGTGAGTTCGAGGCCAGCCTGGGCTACCAAGTGAGCTCCAGGAAAGGCGCAAAGCTACACAGAGAAACCCTGTCTCGGAAAACCAAAAAAAAAAAAAAAAAAAAAAAAGAAAAGAAAATGGAAAGGGAAGCCAGCATGTATCAGGGGACCAGACACATCCTCTCAAACAACACATGGTTATATCAGTGAAGTGTAGCTGAAAGAAAGCAGCCAAAATAAGGGTGTGCTAATTTCTACCTCTTAAAAACTATTTTCTTGTCATAGTCAGTGTTCATGCCCATCACTGGGACCAGTCTTACCTGCTTGGTCTTTGAATATTTTGGATATGACGACAGGGACTCCATGCTCTGCTCCTCCCTAGAAGGCAGAGAAATGAGAAGGAAACAATTATGAGGGCTGAGACTGAAGGTTTTGGCGCCTGAAGGTCAGGGGAAGCAAGAAAACAAGCTCATACCTTGATACTTAGGCCCAGGCCACCCACAGGTTGTCTGCGAAGTGTAACAGTTCTGTGCTTTAAAAAATGTTAGGAAAAAAATAAGTTTAGGTTACAATGCGTTATCAGAGAATGAACAAAGGAATGTATATATAACTTCTTAATCAAAACCTAAGCAATTTTAAAATAAAAATTCCTAATTTGGCGCTTTCTGACCTCTGCAGTAGCAGTACCATCGCCAACCTTCAACCAGTGGTCTGCTCAGAGGGAAACAAGGTTGCCGGTAAAATCAGGTCCTGTTGAAGGCACCGCTGGAAATCCACACAAAATTTCTACAGACCTGGTTAGCTTGCTGCCTCACCCTCACGGGGCTCTAGCAACAGAGCTCCATTTGGACAATGCCCATGTCCATTCTCCAAGTGGAGAAGTTGGCTCCCTTCAAACTTGCTCTCCTCCCACTGGCCCTAGAAAGGAGATCCTCACTCAGCACATGTCACTGCAGTTTCCCTGTGTTAAGTCCCACTGTGGTCACCACTATGCATTCCAGAAGAAATAGCCTTTTCATACCCATGAACACAGATGGCTGATAGCATTTACATCAATGTGGTGATAAAAGCTAAAAACATAATACACCTGTAACTGGCAATATTCAAAATCTTGTCTCTTACGTATGAAATTACAGTCTTTCATTTTGCTGTTGTCTAAACTGACTGGAAAATTTTTACACAGCTGCGCATAGGAATGGGACAAACCATGCAGGAACCATGCTGGAAAGGACAGGGGAGGTGGCTGGGGTATGATAGTAAGCAGGAAAGCATTTCTTTTCCCCCAGAAATACTATAGGAACCATAAACATCATACTTTAACTGAAAAATAGTAACATTCAGACTGAAGGGCTCCAAAGAATCAATGTTTGAAAAGCAAGGACAGAGGCTGAGAATGGCAGAACACCTGGGGACCCTGCTTCATCCTGGGGCTTGGGTGCACAAACGGTACAGACAGAAAACAGCAGGCTGGTGGGAAAAGCTGCTGTGGGCCATGGCATATGTGATGTCTTCCCCAGACTGCCATATCAACCGGTAAATAAACTCTTAGGGAGGAGTGTGTTAGTTGTGAGATGGCTAAGTTCTAATTAGATGTGGTAGCATATGTCTGTGCTTCTAAGAGAGCCTCTCAGAACAGCAGGACACAGAGGTCTGAATCCATCACTCCCCAACAAAGCTGATGCCTTAAATACATCATACACTCAGAATAAAGAAACAAAAAAAAAATGAAAGTAAATAAACACACTTTACAGAATCCATGAGTAAATGCTCTGCATAACATTGTAACTGGAAGAATTATATTTTGTGCATAGCCCATATGTCTAAGTAATGAACCCTTTATAAGAACACACACAAGGAAAGAGCCGTTATTTAGAGACTTTAATGTAAGAGCAGTCATTTTCATTTTTCTCATCTAGGCCACACTCAAGCACACCTGACTCCCATTGGAGACACATTGTCAACACTTATCTGAGGGGCCAAGAGTGTTGTCATTCATGCTACAGCAAGAGAGAGCAGCAGCACACAGTTTAAACCACATTCGTCACAGCAAGAATTACAACATCTGGGATCCCAAAACAAGCTAAGTATCTAAGAATGAATAATTGATTAAGATTCCTCAGTGGAATACCAGTCAACCTTGAACAGGAGGGGAAGTTACTCATCTGTGACAATGACATACATGAGCTGCAGAGGATTATTAATATGTTTGCGACAATTCAGGTACAGAAGAAAAATATGGCGTGATCTCATGTCTGTGGTAGGCCCTAGGGTTACAACGTACAGATATAGCAATGTTGGCCAGAGGCAAAGGTGTGAGTTATATGATGGGTAATTTATAGCTGAGTGTCTGAAATTCTAGCACCTAGAAGATATAGGCAGGAGGATCAGGAGTTCATGTCTATCGATTAGTTACACAGGGGAGTTTGAGGCCAGCCTGGGGCCACAGGAAACTCTGATTCAATAAAATACAAACAAAAAGGGTTAAGTTCTGGGGCTCTGACTACAAGATAAGGATGACAGTTCACAATATTGTACTGTATACTTGAAGTGTGCCAGGAGGGTAGATCTTACACTCCAATACTACTGCGGCCTCCACACACATGCACATAATGTAAATATGCAAGATAATATATATACATATATAATGAATCAGTTTAATTACAGCAATCATTTCTATATGTAAGTCAAATAATCATGTATGTAAGTCAAATCACACTGTACAGCTAAATATATGCAATTTTGTTAGTCATTTATATCTTAATAAATTTGATAAAAAACAAACCAGCTGTTGGGACAGAACATCCCCTATTGGGAAAGGAACCTTAGTTGGGGTTAGTATTGTGATAAAACACCATGATCAAAATTAACTGGGAGGGGGAAGGGTTTATTTTGGTTTGCAGTTCCAATATCACAGTTCATCATCCAGGAAAGTCAGGGTAGGAACTCAAGGTAGGAACCTAGAGGCACAGATCTGAACACAAGTTTGAAGCTGTAACAAACTTTAGTCTGGAAGTTAAGAAGTAAGAGTTATAGTGGGTAAGAAAATTCTACAGGAACTTAGAGAATATGACTATAGGAAAGCTGCTTCTAGCACTTCAAAGCCATTTTTGTGCTTAATGAAAAGATACATAAAGGGTAAGAATTATATATGTCAAAGAAGACAGCTGTCTTGACATATTTATAATCTGAAGGAAATGTGGAGAGAGCCAAGTACAGTTGAAAGGAGACTACTGCCAAGGTATGAGTACCAGCTGATTGTTAGGAGAGTGTGCTGGGCTGAATGGTAAATGCAATCTCTTCTAAAAGTCATTTTATAATACATTCTGAAACAAAACTTGAGAATTCAATGAAAACACACCCACTTCGCAGACAGAAGGTTTTATCATGTTTCATCATCAGTCCTGGATCTGTTCCTCTGACTAGTGAGTGAGGGCCTGTGTATGTGGAAATGGGAAAGTGCTCATTTGTAGGGGAATGTGTAGACTACACATTGCCAGGGATCAATTACATTACACATTCAACTTCTTATCCATCTCTGGATGCTATGGCCTTGACTCTGATGGGTGCTTCTTGACATACAACAGATTCTGTCTTGATATTTCTCTTGACCAAAATGATGAGTTCACCAGTGGTTTGATCTGTGCAACAAGAGCTCTCATAATCCAACATCCTCCAAATGACTGGACCCACTAAACTTTGATGCATGGGCTATGTGAAGGACACTTCACTCCAAACCATACACTGGTTGAATAAGTCAATGCCACTTTGATGTTGTTCTGGCTCTTTAGATAGACTCTTACTGAGTGTTCCTGACTAGCTTTGAACTTGCTATTTAGCCCAGGCTAGCCTCAAACTCACAGAGATATATGACTGCCTCTGCCTCCCAAGTGCTGGGATTAAAGATATGTGATACCACTTTTAAAATTCAGTTCCTAGCCAGAGGTATCTGGTTTAAGACTTGTGCAGAGATAGGTGGATCCACTGGGTGGCTAGCCTAGTCAAACTGAGGAAGTCTGGGCTCAGTAAGAAACTCTGTTTCATGAAATAAAGAGAGAAACAGAGGAGGACCTGATGTCAACCCCAGGCCTCCACACACTCATACAAATGACCACACCATACATCTCTCTCTCACACACACACATGTACATACACACACACACACACACACACACACACACACACACACACACCTCCCCTACCTCCACCCCCACATATACACACACATACATACACCACACCTCTCCTACTCCCACATACAACATTAAAAAACAAACTTGGAGAAGGTATGAAATAGAACTACAAAATGAGTATTTAATCTTGGGATGTAACCAGTCAGCACTTAGGGACAGATGAATTGCAGCATGCCAATTTCTCACAGAACCTTCCTGAACAGTGATTTTTGAAGGTCTTTTCTGACTCCTGGACCTGGATTGGGTTGAGCCATGCCCTGGAAGCAGGAGCACTTACATTAGCACCAGGAGGGGCTCCCCCGATGCAGATGACATCTTGCTTTTGAACAGTCAGCACCTCTTTTGTCAGCTTCAGCCGGACGTCATAGGCATTTTCCAAGCCTTCATCATACAACAAGGCCAGAGCAGTTTTGGTCTGAGGATAAAAAGTGGTGATATGAACAAGTGAGTCCAGGAGTCCTCAGCAAGACAGGTGCTTCCTTTCCTGCCACTTTCTAACCTGCATGCACATATTTCTCTTCATTCATGGTAGAAACTGATTGATTTATCTTTATATATCTCTCTGGAAAGTTGGGCTTTCCTTGTACTCTATAAATGCTGTTTTGGATTTTCCAGACTTCCTGTGACATGCTTTCACATCCTCATACCAGAGATGCTGAGTAATCCATGTCTCCATTTGAAGCAGGCATTCAAGACAGCAGGGCTACTTTAGCAGCTCCAGATGGGAAACTGCAGGACACTGAGAGTCCCTTGGGTCAACACCCAGAACAATAAGAACCTTTCTAGCAGTTGCAGTCCATAACACAGGGGCTGTCACCAAGGAAAGTCACATCAGGCAAGTGCCTGAGGAAAGGGCTCATGCTGTGGAGGACAAGCAGCGCTCTCAGTTGACATGAAGAGGTGAGGTACCAATTCATGGAATGTCAATATGCCAAGCACACAATCACATGTGATATTAATTTTCAACAAATTCATTGAGTCAAGCATCTTGTGCCAGTGAGTTTTCTTGGTAAAGAAAATCCCTGGTCCCAGAGACTCTAGGAATGGAAACAACTGGGATTCATTCAGAGGAGAGAACAGTTGTGTAGGATAAAAGCCAAGGAGAGGGTGCTGGCCCTTTAACCAATGAATACGATATTCTAATTATACATTTTGTGATAGTTAATCTCTGTGGACAGCTTGGCTGGATGGAGAAGTGCCTAGGAGACTACCAAGTGGAGTTTTCCTGAGGGTGTCTCTAGAGAGGACTAGATCAGGCCATCTCTGAGGTGATCAGTGGTTTAACCCACTACGGATCCAGAAGTCAGACAACTGGGAGGTGATGGGACTGTAGAAGGCAGGTCCTCACTGGAAGAAGCAGCTCCCTGAAGGAATGCCATTGAAATGAGTATCTTGCCCTGTCCACTTCCTGTTCTTCTCCGCTTTCTGATGCCAGGTCACCCATATGCTGTAGCCTCCAAGATACCCTGAGGCACCATGGCCTGAAGCAACAGCGCTGGCATAGAAACCTCTGTAATTGTGACTCAATGTCATCCTCCTGCCTCACAGTGTTTTCATGAACTTTTTCACAGCTACTGAGATGGAAGAGCACACATTTTAATATTGAATACCATCCATTTAAAAGTTCACCAAAGAGATCAAACAGGACTCAATGAAGATCTGGCATGGGCTATCTGCTGCCTTCTTTTGACATCTGAACCAGGTGACACCAGTAAATTCAGCTCCTCAAATGTTAAAACGAGAAAAATGAAAAGTCAGGAACAAAACCAATTTGGAGATAATTAAGCTTTCTAAGTCAAAACTATAATTTTATTCTAATCATTTCCTCCTATGAAAACATTCACTTACACCCAACTATAATTAGCTCGGCAGAGATAATTGTGTGCTTTGACATAAATATGATGCAACATCCAGGGTGTGTGCTGTCTGCCCCTTATTGTACCTCCGCAGACACCGGCCACTATTCTCAGAAAACTCATCAGTGTAGTCCAGATACAAGGTTGTGAGGAGACCGAGGTGGCACCAAATCCAGGCAGAGTGGAGAAGGGACCTGCCTCCTTCCTGCCCAACTCCAACTCAGCACTCTATCCTCTGTACCATGGCCCCAGCAACCAATGTTCTTTAACTAGATAATCAGGGACCTTTTCTTTTACACAGTACCCAAAATAAAAGTTACCTTAATCTGCTTCTTTAAAGTAAACTTAGATCTTCTCATTCATAAAGAAAAAATTAAAAACCTAATAAAAAAAAAACCCTATCCCTTCTGTAGCTTTCCACGCTAGGGTGGACAATGCCATTGTCCAAGGCATATGTGGCCCTCTGACCGCCATGTATGAATCCCAACAAACTCTTTGAAGCATGCGGGAACACACCTAACTGCAGCCATAGGACCCAGTATTGTCCCGAGTCTTCCCAATGCCACCCATGGCCCCACAGGCACTCTCCATCGTCATGACCAGGAAAGGCTGCTAAAAGTTGGTCGATATGGCCTCATTCTTCTGGGAAAAAGTGATCCAGGGCTCTCCACCTCACAGAAAAGCCACATTCTGCACTGCTGTGAGCTTTGGTTCCTTCTGGTACCTCTTTGCTCCCACCTCAGCCCTTCTGTCACCCTGAGGGCCACCAACACTGAAGTCCTGTGCCCACCTGTTCCTTGCTAGTCCCATACAGCAACTTCACAGTCTGAGGGGTCACCACTAAGGTGTAAAATCCAGACACCATCACATGTTATGCCCCCAGTGTCCTGGTTCCCTTCTCTACTCTGCTTCCTCTTGAAATCTGCAGAAGCTGAGTTCCATGCTCCCGAAGGATCTTATTACTTTGCTCAAGGCTGGGTTCAGGTTTCTTCAGCTGGAGTCAGTATTGCCTAGGACAGAGGAATGTTCCTCTCCCCAGTGAGACCCAGGAAGAAAATCCCTCCCTCCCCTCCCCCTTTTCCTCTCCCTCATTCCTTCTCTCTCCCTGTGTGCATGTATATACAGTGTAGTGTACTGGATTAGTCTGACTTAAGAGCCAAAATACACTGATTCACTGCACAGAAATAGTCAACCTTTCTATGACAAGAATGCCATATACAAAAATGTGAACATAGAGCAGACAATAGATTAGTGTAAATAGTCTTACTAATCAGGGTAGAAAATTAACATTCTATTAAATTGAGAAAAGAACATTGAATACAATTCCCCAAAGATCTAAAAATTAACTCCCTAGAGAGAGTTACTTGAACAATAAATGATCATAGATAACAGAGTAAAGTCACATTTGTGTGTAAACACGAGTTTGTGTGATGGTAGGTATGCCCAAAATTTACAAAGATGGGCTTTTTAGAAATTGTATTCTATATAAATATGGGCATTTTTTACGTTTTGAGCATGCATCGTATACTGCTGTCTATTTAAATCTGCCAGGTTATACCTCACTATACCTATTTCTTGTCTGTTGAAGTCAATTTCCCTTCAAGTAATTTAAGGTAGGCCTCCATGAATTTAGAAAAATTATACACATTGTATATTTTTATTTATTTATGCCTCTGGGTGTATCTCTGGGGTATAATTAGTTATAGATGAATTTGTCACAAAAGCCCCAGAAACATCTAATAATTTAGACAGAGGACATGGATGTCTAGAATGTCCATGACTAAAAGAAGCACATGTGGCCATTCCACTGTTCAAAGTATGAAAACGGGTACAAAAGATGATTTCCCTGGTTCATTTAGAACTGAATATGTCTTCAATGCACTGTTGACATTAAGTGAATTAAAGAATGAATATCAGATGCCAAGAGAAACCTGAAATCAACCAGTTCCTAAAATGCAGAAAGGAAAAGAAACTCAACTGGTCACCTTCTCAGGCTCTTCCGAATGGGGACAGACTGCTAAAATTTAATTTAGTTGTGATTTTGGAAGGATAAAGCTGAGGCGACTCTAAGTGACACTTTGTTTTAGAGAATTCTAAGCCCCTCCTCACATCTTCCACATGGTTAAGAAAGCTTTCCAGATGTCAAGACCTCACGGATGAAGTCAGTTTGCCAATTGTGCAGCTAGCCTTGTGAATGAGCGGCTGCGTGTCAACATTTACACATTTCAGGGTAGCATACAGACCATGGTTTACTATGTTTATCTTACGGTTTTGATAATTGTAAGAAGCAAGCACTTGACTTTGGCATTTCTGTCCTTGACAGCATAGGCCTGAGTAATCCCTTTTGCAGGTGTGAGGCCTATAGATTGCCAACTGTGAAGCAGGCTTTAGTCTCCATGAAGCTACCAGCCAGGCTCTATGATTTGTTCATAGACCTTCCCATTAGTTTTCACAGCATAGTCATCACCAGATATCAACAAGTCATTGAAGCCTGACATAGGTTATCTGGGAGGTTCCCTCTGTGAACCTGAACATCAGCACCATGGGTCAACTCATACATACATCCTGACAGATATTTCAGGGTTATAGACAAATTGCTTCTTGGTGGTGGTGGTGGGACTTGTACAGCGTTGAAAATGATCTCCTCACTCAGCCTCAACCTAACCAAAAAGCAATGATCTGAGGCTAGGAATCCAACAGTGATCAAGTGAGAAGGGGGTGCTGTCCCCCAGCTGGGGGGACAGGCTCCATGCTTCTATAGTAGTTGTTGCCTCTGTGTGCAAATTGTCTGGAAATTTGTGCCCCTGGCAAGCATGCTGCATGGCCCTGCCTCACCTGCAGCCCAGTGCCACTTTTCTCCAATGACTGTGCCATTTTCTATATAAAACAAAAACAAAAACAAACAAAACTGGACAGTGAGATAAGAACTCCCTCAGGAACAGTGTCTAATGGAGGGACAATATTTCCCTCCCCTGTTTCACCCCTTCAAACTGTGTAGCCCCAGCCAGGCATCCATCCCTACTCCATCTTAGAAAAGTGTGTAGAAGCCGATAACTTCCAGCCTGGAGCCGGCTCATCACCATCTTTATCCCCAGCTGCAGATTTCCCAGTCCATAGCCACTACCACTACTTTAGAGTAGGATTCCCACCAGAATATAGTTCTGTTTCCCACACATTGGACAGTTTGGGGAATGTAAATTAGATGTGACAGTGATCTCTCAGCTACTCTCGTCCTTTATCCCATATCCTACGGTGCCTTTGCTTGCTGTGAACTGAAGTTTCTGGAGGGAAAGCCACATTTATGTTTAAAGTCTCTACTAAGATTACTGACTGACCAGAACTTGGTGATTGTGAGGAGCTAGATGCTGCAAATTCAGAGCCAAATTATCTTGGGCTATCTTCAGACCTCTTAATAGCTGTTGTGGTCTACATCTGTATCTGACTCACTGTACTTTGATTACCATGTGAAATTTTTTGAGATGGGTTAACTTAACAGCAGAGTAGCTTTCACAACCTCAAAGCTAAGGATGTTATCAGATAGCCTCTGAAATTCATAGAT